CTCTTCTGTGTACGGCTCCCAGATGACGTCGCTCGGCTGGAGACGGTCAAACTCGAACACGAAGTCCGGGTAACCACGTCTCACCTGGATGTGAGCGTAACGACGCTGCAATAAACATGATCGGAATTAGACATGTTATGTGAAGAAAAAAAAAAGACGACTGATAAACTTATAACGCAGCGAAGTTGCACTAACCCCACGTCGACACCAGTAAGTCCCCATCGTGGGACCGTCCTCTGGCCACTGCGCGCTGCGACCAACCCCATAGGGTGCGCTGTCCACCACTGGTCGACCTATGGCAAACCTCTCGGCTGCCCAAAGCTGAAGCAACATAGGGCAGCCAGCGATGATCGCTCCCGCGTCAGTCTTCGTGCACGCCTCACAGAGGGCACGGTACGTGGCTGCTAGCACGGCAGAACCCCAGCTCCACTGCGGCACGTCCTGTGGCTGAGCATCCGCGATGGACCGTGCGTAGTGGACCAGCCGGAAGTCCACAGCGTGCCCGTGGGTGCTAGTGAACATCACCCACCCGAACAACCACAACAGGTACGCCTCAAGGGAGCGTCGGACCGAGTAATCATCAGCGTCAGGGTGTAGAAGGTCCGCCTACAATTAAGAATGAAATGTTAGTACAAAACACTCATTCGGTCGCAAATAAGCACGTATGATAATAACAACTTATTTACTTACAGTGAACTGGAGCAACCAAGCCTTGCTAGGCCCGACTGTAGAGTACGGAGGAAGGGTGGTGGTCGGTCCTAGGTGTGGAAGGCGCATCACCTGCTCGAAGCGCGCAGTGATATCCTCCTTCCACCCAAAAACACCGTCCACGGGACCAACTGCTGCTCCCGCCAGCGGTAGCCCGAGCAGGTACGACACGTCCTGCAGTGTCGGAGCCATCTCCCCACAGGGAAGGTGGAACGTGTGCGTCTCAGGTCTCCAGCGGTCTACAAGAGCGGCAAGGAGTGACCGATCTGCATCCCACCGCTTCGCTGGGTCACGGTCGTCCGCCGCCGCCTCAACAAGCCTACAAAGTGGTAGAAGGCCTGCCGCACGCAACCTGTATAGAGCAAACTTCAAACATAAGTACAACACAAAGCAAAGTTGAGTTGAAATGTGAACATACGCGTACCAAGGAACGTGACGGGGGTCGACACGCAACCACTCGCGCGACGTGCGTGGACGGAAGGTGCCGAGCTGTGCACCCTCGACTGCTGACAGGAACGAGCGGTGGTTCCTGTTAATCCCACGGTTCAACAGCGCCGGTGTGTCGTACGCCATACCTGCATCAAATAGGTTGATCAGAAACATATAAATAATTAGTTCAACATAAGTAATAAATGTTGAACTAAGCGAATTACTAACACATATTAAACAAGAGTACAAACAAACAAAAGTGTTTAGTCCGAACACTCATCACGATAACATTATGATACAACACCGAATAATTCGCAATACTACTAGTACAACAATAGTCGGAGGTACTCATTACAACAACATTGAATTGAAATTACACGATAGAAGTATTTAGTCCGAACACTCATTACATCACAACAGCATTTTATTTCCTAAATCGAAAGCATTGTTACACCATGGAATCGCCTGCTGCGCGACGACGCCTTGGCCTTGCGCGCCTGCTTGTTGTTCCTTCACCAGGTGGTCGCCTACCATCACTTGCCTGTCCAGATGGACTAGCATCTGCGCCGCTTGGAACTTCTGCATTCTTCGGGCACCTCACTTCATACACATAATTTGTTGACTTGACCACCCTAAACTCTCTCTGCAAGGAAACTGCCCAATGCTTCACCGCCTCCTTCATCTCATCCTTATGAGCATATCTTGCACCCTCAATTACCTCGTTCTCCTTATACTCCCAGGGTACATGATCACCCTCTGATATAACAAGTCCAGAGAAGTCCTCATTTGCCCAATCAGTGGCCATTACATCACCTTCCTCATCGGATGATGCGTCGTCGTCCACTTCCTCATTATCCGAATCTTCCCTCTCCATTTCATCAACAATTGTACCGACTCTCTCCCCCTCATCCGCCATGCCCATAGCCTGCTCCTCCCTTGGTTGATTTTCCTCATTTTGCATCGATGGTCCAACAACATCCCCTGCATTGATAGGACCCTCTACATCTTCGGTTTGCATTGAAACATTTATATCTTTCTCTTGTACCGACACAAATATAACGAGGGGCCATGACCGTTCAAAAGCCATTTCCACATACCGTCTCCAAGCATCAGTGCTGTCCATCGGCATTAGTTCCCAAAAATAACCTTCTGTTGCACGACTCACTACAACTGACACTGACATTGTGTAGACTTCTTGGTCTATTCTAAATCCTCTCAACAACCAACTATAAATTGACTGAAATGTTCTCTCCGCAGGCCTATCAATGCCCTTAGATGTCATTACAAAATCTGACAGATCAACACCATCTGGACCAAATCTAATATTTCCTTCACCGTGAACTATCTGAAATGTGACCTTACTTGACATTGTGCCTGATGAAAACAATAACTGCGTTAACCTCGCATTTCTGTACTACGCCCTAAGTTACATTCTCTACAATATTGTTCTCTAAATTTCTAAAATTACGTTACATTCTCCAGATCAAACTAAACTACATCTTACAATTAACACTACTGTCTATGTCTCAATTCATACTATTATATTCTATGCTCTGGATCTACACATATGTGCTATGTGCTACAGATGTGCTAAAATATATGGAACTAAAACTAAAACGCAACATATATACTCAAACATAACATATTAGTACAAATGCACAAAAGATGTATGGGAGCATACCTGTGATGAATTGAGCGAACCAGCAGGGCTTCGCCGCTCCCCTTCTGCTGCCCTCCCCTCTCTCTCTTTTGTTTTTTTTTGGATTTTTAGTGAATATAATGAAATTTCACAGAGGAGGGACTGGGCTTTATGGGGGGAGAGGCAAAAATCGCCCTCCCCCAGGGCGGCAAGGGGGCCGCCTGCAAAATTCCATGCCCCCTCGCCGCCCATTTGCAGGCGGCCCCCCCCCCACAGTACAAAATCGCCCTAGCGGAGGGCGGCAAGGGGGCCGCCTGCAAAATTCCATGCCCCCCTCGCCGCCCATTTGCAGGCGGCCCCCCCCACAGTACAAAATCGCCCTAGCTGAGGGCGGCAAGGGGGCCGCCTGCAAAATTCCATGCCCCCCCTCGCCGCCAATTTGCAGGCGGCCCCCCGCACAGTATAAAATCGCCCTAGCGGAGGGCGGCAAGGGGGCCGCCTGCAAATTTCGTTGACGGCCGTCGCCCGAGAGCGAACGGCCGTCTGCCACGTCATTTTCGCCGCCCTCTGAGAGGGCGATTTTTAAAAATCACCCTCCCAGAGGGCGGTAGGCGACTCCTTCCGTCAATTTTCAAAATGGAAAATTATTTTTGTAAAACTTTTAATAAAAAAAATTATAAATAAAAAAAAATCCCGCCCAAGTAAAGCAGCCCGTACAACAATTTTATCCCAACAACAAAATGGGCCGGAAAGGCCTCGTGGGTCGTCTTTTTTTCTCGGGCCATCAGATCCACGGTTCCTACTTCCAAGTTCCAACGCCGTTTTCTCCTCTTTTAGGCGACCCAGCCGACTTCGCCGGCCGAAACCTGCCTTACGGCAACTCATGTCTTCAGTGACCTAACAGCTTCGTTTATATCCATGCTTATATAAGTTAAAATTTAAAATTGATTTTCTGGTTTTTGTTGTAGTTTATTTTACAACGTTTACATTTATATCACTAAGTAGTACGGACACATATAAACGTTTTACTTATAAATTACTACCTCTATATTTTACTATTTTTTATATGACACCGTTAAATTTTTACATTACGTTTAACCATTTATCTCATTTTAAAAAGTAACCATCTTCCCTTTTGTTGTGGTTTGATTTATTACTAAAGAAAATTTAAGAAATATTTTTATTTTAAGATTTGCACGTAATTTATTAATAAGCGAAGTAAGCGTGGCTCAAGTAGTCAGGTTTGTTGTGGCGAAATCAACCTACTCAAATTCAAGTTCTAGACTTGATACATAGAAGTGTAAATGGCTAACCCGTAAAACCAACTTATATGTCAAAATAAGTCACGAACCTGTTTATTTTGATCCATAAGTGGATTCGCGGCTTACCCATTTATACCCCTATTAATACGGGTGCTCGCACTTACGACTAAATTATTCTTTCAGTGATAGATAATGAGGCGTCCATAATGATTTTGTAAATCTCAAGATATGATGTCTGTCTTTCGAATGTGCTTATATAGATAATGTGTGCATGTATGGTAATAGCGGTAGAGTGTGAACACATTGCTTGCGAGCGTCCGTATTTAAAAACTGAGGAAATATTTTTTTTTGCTAATAAGCAATAAGCACAAGTGTAATTGAAGAATGGGTAAACAAATCAAGTGATTTCTCCGTAACTACGTACACTCACGCCGGCCGAATCCCTCGTCTACACCACCGCCTGGTTGCGATTTGTCAGTTATAGGGCGCAAGTTCTTCTCTAATCGAATTCACGCGGGCGCGGATATGGACGTCGACTGTACGCTCCGGCTTGCGCGTGACGAGGCGAGAAGCTCTCGCTGGTTTGCAGTAGGTTGCCGATCTTTTTCCGCCTACTATTAGTGAGCTCGAGTGTGGCTGCCTGGTACACTGGTACGTGTTGGACTTACGTAATACTCCGCTCTACTGTTACCAAACCTTGGCGACAACTCTACTGTACGGTACTGTCATACGCATCACGTAATCATTGAAACCTTAGCTGCTAGCCACGCGCACAGTTGGGCGGTGGGCACGACCGCACCAGCACTACCACCGGCCACACTTTGCACCCATACGCATTTGGTCTTCTTTTGTCCTACAAAATCTACTGCTAAGTTACCGTATCGTTAGGAACTCATGATCATACGTGCGTACAAGTACAACGAACGATCACATGCATGCACGCTCAATCGATCCCAAGCATGTAGGAGTAGGAAGAGTACTTAATTAATTAGGCTAATGAAATGAAATATCTTGATCTGGTAGTCTACTATATGCCATTAGGCTCGATGAGATTAACACCAGAGATTAGTTCACCTCAAAATCCAAAAGACAGGAGCTAATAGGTAGGAAGTTCACTACACGGCGAGTTTTGCCTGCTTCTCGGCGACCTCCAACGACGACTCCTCCGTGATCGTGCAAGTCGAGCTCCTCCGGTGCGACGAGCAGGACGCGAGGGCCGGGTCGGCGATGGCGACGATGACGTCGATGAACGCCGCCAATATGGCGGCGTGCGTGTCCTTGCCGTTGGCTCGCAGGTACCATCCCAGCATCTCCTCCAGCCAGCCCCAGTTGCCGACCCCGTGCGCGACCACCATCTCCTCCATGGACACCCGGAAGTCCACGTACGGGTCCTCCGACTCGAACGCCACCGCCACGCCGCCGATGAAGGAGGCCTCGCCGGCGGCGTCCGACGACTTCTCCTCCAGTATGGAGCTCGTTGCCGACGCTCCCGGGTCGAAGAGGAGCCGGTCGGAGGAGCGGAGGCCGCGCACGATGGCGTCGTCGGCCGTGTCGGCGGCCTCGGCCCCCGCCGACGCCTCGGACGCCGTGGAGAGGCTGTCGGAGCAGTCGTGCCGCGCGGAGGAGGTCGTGAAGGAGGACTCGGCGGAGTCGAGGAAGATGGAGGCAATGGTCCTGGAGCCCGGGGGAGGCGGCGGCGCCGTCGCGGCGCGGAAGGACTGCGTCCTTGGGTTCTTGCAGGACGGCCACACCCACGGAGGTGCGGTTGCCGGGGCGGGAGGCGGGGACGGCGAGGTGTCCCTGGCCTTGTTGTGGAAGAAGGAGCTCAAGGCCAGCCTTCCGATGACCATTGGTACGGTGTGGGTTTCAAGATGAACCGGCCGGAGGACAGAGGGTTTGGTGTGTGGCTTTAAAACAGGGGAGATATGACACAAATCGTGGACACGACGCGGTTTGGTTTTAAAGGAGCTTTGGGAGGGAAGAGGGGAAGGGGGGACGGGGATGAAAGAATAGTTCTGTTGGGCTTTTCAGATTTATGGCCTGTTTACATGGCAAAAAAAATTATCCTACATGTTACATCAGATATATGGACACATTTAAAATATTAAATGTAGTCGAATAACAAAACAAATTGCAGATTCCGTTAGAAAACTGCAAGATAAATTTATTAAGCGTAATTAATCTGTTATTAGCAAATATTTACTGTAGCAACACATTGTCAAATCATGGCGCAATTAGGCTTAAAAGATTCGTCTCGCAATTTCCTGGCGAACTGTATAATTGGTTTTCTTTTCTACATTTAATACTCCATGCATGTATCCAAAAATTCGATGTGACAGCGTGAAAAAATTTGTTTTGGAACTAAACTGCCACTTACTTGTATATATGTAGATCTTCGAGAATATTTTTTGAAAATTAGAGTATCTAAAAATCCGTCGCAAGTTTTCTAAATAAAAATATTTCATATGTTAATATAGTATAATTGAAGTGTAATTATGTAATTGTATTGTGAACTTGTTTGGTAGTGTTCCACTTTCTAATTTAACTCTAGAAGTTGGGTCTGATGTGGAATTGGGTCTGAAGTGGAATTGTGGAGCATCCTAAACCCATTTTCACATCTCTATAGTTCATTTTGTGAGAGTACTCCAACCAACTCGACACCTATTTTAGGTGAAGCTGGAGCTGGAGCCGTGACAAACATGCCTTGGAACTACATTGTAATTATGATATAACTTCTATAAAATTTGTATTCAACAATAGTTTGGTTGTCAATAACCGGGATCTTACGCGTGACAGGTGTAAAAATATATTTTTAACAATTTGTTTCCTTCATGCACAAATCTCAAGGCAGTCCACTCGTCACAAATCTGAAAGTTTTAGGGACAAAAAAATCTCTTGGAAGTTTTCTAGCAATTTTGTAAAATTAACCAAGGCCGCATACTTCATTTTACATAATATTGTTGGATTTTTTTTCTAGATTATTTCCATATTGTTATACTCTGTAAAAAGGTTTGGGCTCTCATTATCAGCCACAATGAAAATTTAAATATCTGAAACCTTTGAGCTGATTTTAATTTAAGTCATAGTCCACCTGAAAAATGGTTTTTCTCGGGATTGAGATCCTCTAACCCTTTGATTTTAAATCACTAATTAACATGTGGATCCGCTATCTAGAGAGCCCATATGTCAGTGACCTACGTAGTCGTCAGAGAGAATTAAGTTAGAGGATCCTCTTCTGTAGTCTTGGGTTCTCATTGTCCAGGAAGACACTGTATGTACTGTCCTCATACTTGAGTATCCATGACTTGATGATCCATGTATGCATTGGTTCATCTGAAAACCAAAAGGGTGCAATTTTCAGAACAGACAACCCAAATGAACCTTGCAACTCATTTGGCACACTCAGACGGACGATCCGGATTATGGGGGCAAGACCCACAGTCCCACACATGTGCGTTCATAAGCCAAAAAGAGCAGGATGCTGAGACACAAACACACAGGACAGCGCTGATACATGATACACCATCCATTGAAACCTGAATGGCTACCTTGTCTTGCAGATGGAAAGACGACCGGGTCTTGTAGCACGAAGCATGTAAAACTGCAAAGGCATTTCGTGCTTCAAGCGAATGTTTTTCCGGCCATGTTTAACGCAACCCCGAGAGGGAGCTTGACCCTGTACCCTGTCCACGTTGCTCTTTCATGGTTCCATGCAAGATCGGAGGCCATGTCTTTGCCTCCTGCTTCATTGCAAGTCGTGTGTGGCTCGCTGCATATTGGTAGCGAACTCACTTCGCCTTGCCAGTCGCAGGGTGGATGGATGATGCACAGAAGTTTTCAGAATAGCTCACTGTTGAAGTATCAGGGAACTATTTGCAAAACCGGCCATTTGCATTTATCCTGAAGTGAAAGCACGTGAGGCAAGCCCAGGAGGCAAATGTCATCCGTTGACGTGAAGAACTTCCCTTGGGATTTTTCCACGGTCTGAAACTCTGAATGCATCTTGCCATTTCTCCACGGGTCTGAAACTCTGAATACCCCGTTCCTCTGCTTCGTCACTGTAGGAGATAGGATGTGGCGCTGCCTTGCAAGTTTCAAAGATGTTTTCCAGGCAGCTGCTCACGTATCAGTGTTCCTGCAGTCATTTATGGTAGATGTGCTTGGCAAAAGGAATTTTGGTGGATACGCCATACTGGCTGGCCCTATCCAAGTTGTCTGGACCATCTGATTATTGGCATCACCGTTGGCCTACCACGGTGCCTTTTTCTTCTGAATCCTCAATTTGAATCAGGGCAAAATGCACGAGTGTTAGGAATATTCAATATTGTACTCCAAGATTGGCATGACTCTGTACTAGAACATTCAGCGTGTAAACGACCTTATTAATTTGGATTGGGATCCTATGCTGTTTGAATAGGGAATTTGGAAGGCTATATGCATCCAGACCAGCAGGGACCCTCTGCAAATTAAATATGGTGAAGGTTGTGGTTTATAAGGCATGCAAGTCCGCAAGAGCCCACTGGCCCCTGAGGACAAAGGTACTGAAAATATTGTTGTTGCATAGAGATTTTGTTCAAGGGTCAGCTCAATACTACAGAAGATTGGGATTTCGGATCATGATTTTGTATGATTGCTTCGTGAATTATTGATGGTTCGGTATACCGAATTCGCAGTTTATAGTACATTTGGAGGATATATTGGGGTCTACACAATAAAAATTCTTTCGTCTTGGTTTCTGCTAGACGTTCAAGCTGAACAATCATATCGAGTGCACGTACCCGCGAAAGCTACCAGTCGTCTGTTATGTGGTATCCCAAAGCCGGTGGAGTATAAGGACTGATAAAAACCTCCTTGAAATTCCTCAACAATACTAATGCAGAGGTGTACGTACCATCATGCCTGATCGCTAGGATCATCTGCTGGAAACACTACCTTCAGGGTAAAAAAAAACACGTAGCGCTAGTATTTGACGCTAATATATTTACTTAGATTTCATTGTTTTGAACTGTACGTGTCGAGTTAAAAAAATGAATCGAGAAGGCATGCATGTACATTTTGGGTTAAGCCAAATTGCCACTCCTAATTGACGAGTCCGTACTGATAGGTTCAGAGAAGTGATCATTGACGAAATGACAAAGCATCTGTGAGCCCGCCTGCCCGAGACGCCTGGCACCAGGGTTCATGGCTATCATGGGACAAATATCGTTTTTGGCACTATTGTCTGAAGAAATGATACTGTAGCTCGTTCTTTCTGCGAGACTAGCTGCCATCGTTAATTTGCATCCTTCCAATGTGCGTCTAGCTACTAGGCTAGTACTCTAAAACTAAAACTTTAAAGAAAATCTCTTGTATAACCTTAAAATTTTAGCTAATCTTTTCTATGTCCCTGTATTTTGCTTACTTCTTTGTATACCCAAAAATATGATTTTGATCCCTTCCATACCCCTCCCGTTAGTTGACCGTCTAATTTCTATAAAAACAACCATTTTACCTTTTGGATGAACATAGAAATTTATGAATTATGTTAGTTGACTGTCTAATTTCTATAAAAATGATCATTTTACCTTTTGGATGAACATAGAAATTTACGAATTACATTACTGGAAATGCAAAAGTTTATTGGATGAGACTATTATAGTTATGAGTTAGACGTGTGATACATTATTTATGAAAAAAATATTTTTAGATAATGAAATAAAAAATATGTATTTATTTTATTTAAAAAAATCATAAAAATAAGGAGCATTCATACAAGGATAGAACTACGAATGGTCAAGATTTTTTTTTAATGAATGCTCCCGATAAGAAAATCTATTGTCCTATTAAATTTCAAATAAAAATTTTAATTTATTATATTTGTTTTATTTTCAAAATTTATGTCTAAATTTTCCGCACTAATTATTTAGTCTCTTTTTTACATAAAATGCACATATTGTGCACTCAAACAAAATTTTCAATGGTTTTTAAGCTTATATTCAAACCTAAATTATCAAGGGCATTAAAGACATTTGCCACCAACTTAACGGTGAAATGAAGAAAAATGTGACGGCAAAAGCATGGAAGGGATCAAGTTAAAATTTCAAGGGGTATAGAAGGGATCAGATAAATTTCAGGGGTATAAAAAAAATTGAGTGAGTTTTCATGGGTATACAGGAAATTTACTCAAAAACTTTATCAATGCATTTACCAATCATGCATTCATGCAAGGTTGTTTAGCTTTTGATTTTTACCGCACGCGGAACTATAATTATCTAAGCATTAACTATTACAAATTCATAAAAATGAGTTTATTTGATTTTTGAGAGAAATTTCTATATATTTCTTTTAAAAAAACATATCGTTTAGCATTTTAAAAAAGCATGTGCACCGATTAGCAAAAGAACACACCTTAAAACTTTTTGCACGATACTTCCTCTGTCGCGTGAAAAACAAATCTAAAACCAGATGTGACACAGAACAAAAGTGTAACATCTGGTTCTATGTCACATCTGTAAAAAAACGAATCTATGGATTACCCGTCGTCTCGTCGGTTTATGACAATGATAGCGTAATTCATCCAAACCGTCTGAGACGATGGGTTTAGCCTCTAGGTGCTGTAACTGTAACAGGATGCAAGACAAATGTACCAATTGTATCGTCAGCTCACCCTCTCTCTCCCTGTATGTCCTGGATACAGCGAGGGACTTTTTAACCCGCAGCAATGCAGCATCGGTCGCATGCAGCTATGCAGATGCAGGGCAATGGCACAGCAAGCAGCACAGACGCCCAGAATCCACGAAAAAGATCGGCACAGTCCACATGGAGGCTAGCCTTGTCTTCGTGCACTAGCATAGCATACCAGGAAACAGCAAACCGGGCCAGGCTTGCCGCTCCGATATCTTCTCCGGTGTGGGCTACCTAGCTCCGCGGCCGCGGCCGGCCAGCCGGTCCCCTCCCTTCA